AGCAAAAGCAAGCAAAAGCAAGCAAGCAAGCAAGCAAGCAAGCAAGCAAGCAAGCAAGCAAGCAAGCAAGCAAGCAAGCAAGCAAGCAAGCAAGCAAGCAAGCAAGCAAGCAAGCAAGCAAGCAAGCAAGCAAGCAAGCAAGCAAGCAAGCAAGCAAGCAAGCAAGCAGCAAGCAAGCAAGCAAGCAAGCAAGCAAGCAAGCAAGCAAGCAAGCAAGCAAGCAAGCAAGCAAGCAAGCAAGCAAGCAAGCAAGCAAGCAGCAAGCAAGCAAGCAAGCAAGCAAGCAAGCAAGCAAGCAAGCAAGCAAGCAAGCAAGCAAGCAAGCAAGCAAGCAAGCAAGCAAGCAACACGCAATGACACAAGCAAACAAGCAAACCCACACATACACACAAACACACAAGCACACAAGCACGCAGGCACACACACACACACAAAAAGACACCCGCGCACACAACAAAACAAGGCAGACGCGCGCACGCACACATACACACAAAAAGCAAAACAAAAACAGACACGCACACATAGAAGACACAAGCGCACGTCAGCAAACATGGGAGTCGTTCGAACTGTCCTTGTATTGCGATATCACGGTGGCGACATCTGGTCATATGTCTTTAGCCTTCACGGACGCGATGTACCTTCCAGACCGTGACCTGTAAGCCACATTTCCACCAATGTGACGTGTTTTTTTGCTTCGAGTCCGAGAGCAGCGGTGCCATTGGCTAAACGGCATGGAGGTAGGACTTCTATGAACCTGCAGCCCGCCCACATGGTCTGAAGTTTCGTCCGGAAACCGACATCTTCGCGAAGGGCAAAGTGTCTTTTGCCATTCCCTTGACGGAGCTTTTACAAGGCCACGTATAATGCTGCCCTTTGTCCACGAGAAAGCAAGTAGCTGCAAGACTTTGGCATCACACCCTTTCAGTACAAGTGTAAGCACTCAAAGTGCAACTCCAGCAGAGACGCAACTCCAGCAGAGACGGAAGGTCGTGTGACTTTCAGCTCACCAGAATACAAGCGTTGCTCACAAAGTATCACATACCTTCAGCACAAGCGTCACATCGTTGCTGCTTTTGTTCAAGCAGTGGAGTAATTGGTGCTTTGTGGCTGCTTGGGACAAATCAACTGAGATGTTTTCATGCTTGAGGGAAACTGTTCAATGTTCCGCAGATACTGATTTGACTGCCTTAGCCAAGATTTGAGAACTGTCGCACAATTCTTTTGTGTTTTAAGATTGGAGGGGAAGGATTCTTGCTCCATGCTCTAAGGTCGTAGCCGATTACTGGGCCCAGAAGCTCGACTACTTGCCCACGGACCCCCTGACACCAGTCACTGCGGACGCTTGCCCGATCCAAGGAGGCTCATACAGGTCCACTCGGTTGCATGCAGAGAGCTTTCGGACTGTTTCAACAAGCAGGGAACAGCCTTCCGGGCAGGTAGATCCCACAGATCGTCCATGCAATGTTGGACATCTTGCTTGCCTGGCATAGCGCCCGTGCCTATACCCGAGTTTGTATGTCAGCTTTGGTGCCAAAACTGCTGGCCCTCCCCCCCTCGCTTTTCCTCTCATTCGCAGCGATAATGAAATCGAATTGGTCGAAGTGCCGAGGATCAGATTGCCTTTGCCCTGCTGAAGTGGTTGGAGGAGTTGCTGGGCTGCGGTTCAGAGGAGCGCATGTGCGGGACCATTGCTCACACCCCAAGACACGCTTTCTCCAGGCTTCTAATAGGTGTTTGAAAAGAGCTGTGGCCCCCCCTGCTTTGTCCATTCAATGGCGTCATTTTGACGCTGGCTCGTAGCTGGTGGGTAGATATCCCCACGACGCGAACGGCAACTCGTCCTGGGGTGAGCGCCAAGAGGAATGGTTTCCTGGGAGACGGTCTGTGCAGCGAATACGCTGATCTTGATGCATAATCATCACTGCCCTCTAGTCCCAAAAGTCTCGGGGCAGGAGGAGTCCTTCTTAGACGACGAGCCGGAGCAAGAGCACCCACCAGAGGTCCGAAGTCTGTCAATGCTTCCCGAAAAGATGAAGACTTCTGTTCCAGCCGGAGTTTTTGCAGTCTTGTGTGGACGCCGAACCTTCAGTGCCAGGAACTCATGCAGAAGGAAAGGAACGCCCTTTGAAAGGAAAAACCTCCACGTGCGGAGTAAACAGATGACATGTCTGCCGCCGTGGTTCGCACGCCGTGGTTCACATGCCATGGTTCCAACCCCACGAGTGCAGGTTGCGAGGGCCACCTTGCGCAGCCTTACGCTGCCTCCTGCACCAGAGGAGGGGGCATCGAGATGAATGCTGTATCGGCACCTAAGATGTTGTGAAGGTCTTGTGAGCCTCACGTCAGAGGAGATCAAATGTAAGGAAGTACTTGCAAGAGGCAGTCTGTGCAAACAAGTGCTTCGCAGCAGCTAGCTCTTCCCATCAAGGGGCCAACTACTTCACCTGCAAATCAATTCTCCACCTGTATTGGATTTCGTACTTTGCAGACCGCAAACGCGCCGAGAGAAGATTTGTGCCAATGCAAAAGTTTGCGGAGCCCATGCGCAGGTTCCAGCAGATGCTTCAGGCGCATCCGCGTGGACCAAAGTCATTCAAAGTCTGGAGATGGGGCTGACACTTTCGAGTTTGGGCACCTGGCTCGGGATGTCAATCGCCAGTGCGGAGAAACGGGCAGCTTCCAGATCAAGCATCATACTGTGGATGGACAAAATCCATTTCGCACCACCTAAGAGACCCTGCTTTCGGATGATTCTCCTGCAAAACCAACATGGTTTCCAAGCGGTGCGAAATGGACTTGGTCCATCCACAGTAACAGCTTTGACCCAAAACGGTTGCCAGAAGCGACCAACAAATCCGCCAGCTTGGGCCTGGCTGCAGCCCGAGCGAGCCGAGCCTCCGGAGGTGCGAGCCTCTGATCCACAGGAAGCTTTCTGGATTTTGGCTCTTAAAATGTGGGAAGGCGCCCCCCCAAATAAGACACATGCGGTGGAGCTGCTAGTGAATCTGAAGACACCTAAATTTGGGAAAGGGTCCCCCCCAAAAAAGACGTGCAGTTGCTAGACAACTAAGACATCCCAGCGTTCCCTATGGCCGCTTTTTGCGCCCTTGGGAGCTCATGGACGGGACATTTCAGCGAGTCTCCGAAATCGGGCCGTGCATTATCGATCCCGGTCGACTCGGACCCCACAGGTGTGCAGCTTCCGGGAGCGGCTTCGGAGGGAGCTGCCCGCAGGAGCACAGCCCTCAGTTTGGAAGGACTCAAGGCTTGCACTCGAAATAGGTGCGGGTCTACCCAACATAGAGCCTTCGTAAATGGAAACAAGGACTACACTTGACAACCCTGCGGTCGCCTGGTGGTTTAATTTTGATCCTTACCCAAATTAAAGTTGATTTGGCAAGAAAGAAAACCGCTACGTCCAGCACAAAAACAGCATCGTGTGGCAGGATGCACGATGCTCAGGCACAAGTCACAGAGGCTCACCTGGCACAGACAGGCACAAAGGCTCACTGGCACAGACAAGCATAGGCACAGACATGCAAAGGTTTTTGGCTTTCAATAAGTGGCTTCGCACGTCGAGAGCCTCACGAGCCCTGCTCCACGTCATATAGCCTGATGTCGTGTTGACTCTGGGCAGGAAGCAGCACAGGGTGCTTGCGACGATTCTGGTAGATTGGTTTGATGGCTGATGCTTGCACGCGCGATGTTTGAGGTTGATGAGCATGCTCTGCTCCACTTCTACCGAGCTGCACGGGCAGGGATCCCAGGTTCGGAGGAATGGGGACAGTGGATTCAGCTGGCCATGAAGCGTGCTCAATCGTGAACGCTGGGTTCACGTAGCACGGCGCATGGTCCGCGGTGCTTTCGGCGATCAGTGGCGCTAAGGACGCGCTGGACGTGGACCTGCCAGGTGGGATGCGGGTGGAGTTGAGTCGGGGAGTTTGGAGTTTCGTCACCTGCGCCGAGTGTGGACTTGCTGTGAACCAACGCTGGAAGTGCATGCCGACAGGCAGCCCCTGCAGCCGCGTGCGACAGAGGATGAGCCAGGCGCGAATTTAGGGAGTCGGTGATCGATACGGCGAGAAAAACCTTCCTTCTGCAAGGCCACTCATGGCCGGTTGGTGTCTTTGATTGGTCGGTCCCCCCTAGGTAAGAGGGTGACTGCGACTCGGCTATGAGTCACCTGGCGGTCGATTCTCCTGGCCGATCCCAGGCATCGCTCCGCAGCGGAGTGGCCTTGCTGGAGAGGGCCGTCCTCGCGCAGGTGGGGAGCTGCCGGACGGGTACCCATGGTTACTGGGTATGGCTCAAGATTAAACAGCTGGGGTACGAGGGTTTTAGTCTTTGGTTCCATAAGGTGCCTCAGAGGGAAAAGGTATTACACCCTGGGATTTCACCTTGTTCCCCGACTAATTCGTTCTAAAAGGAACTAATTTGATCTATTTCGATTGATTTTGCTTGATATTTTTTTTGATCCATTTGCGGCTTGTGTGGGGCATGTCCAAGAAGCAAGAACCCATGTCTCCCGTATAGTTCAAACACCCACGTGTTTCATCGCCAATGCTTTCCTTTCACGCTTCGGACGGATCGATGTCGCAAGTCCTACTTTGCGAGTTTGCCTTTCTTGGTGAAACAGGAAGTTTTGAGGTGGTCCCCACCTCGACATTTGAAGCTTTTGGACCCCAACAATCCCCCTAGAAGAAAAACAGCCAAAATCAATCAAAATAATTCAGGAGTTGGGTGTAATACCTTTCACCCAGCAGTATTTGAAAATTTCCAGGACCCCTCAACCCCAAGAATTCCCCCAGAAGAAAAGCAGCCAAAATCAATCAAAATAACTCAGGAGCTGGGTGTGGTATTCGAGGTTTTGCAGGGTGTTTTTGGACCCCCCGAGACACCCCCCCTCCAAATTGGGAATTACTTTGCGAGTGAAGCTGTCTCATGACACATTGGCGACATCCCCGTGGAGTTGTCAGACTGTTTGTTTGGCGCAGCTGAGCCGCTAGATGGCAACGATTGTTCCATTCAGCCCAATAGATTGGACCCACTCTCAATGGATTTTGTAAGAAGAACGTCAAGCGAAGAAAAGATAAAACAACATAAGTCAACATAAGTAGGAATGAGGGTGTAATCTCGGGGTGTAATACATTTTTCCTGTGAGTGCCATGTTGGTTCCATTTTTTTGAGCCACAGCCACTTGAGTGTGCTACTTGGGTGAATTTGAATGAAGCTTGGCCACAGGAGCTGCGCATGCCGCATTGGGTTGCCAAGATGTGGGAAGTGTTCTGTTTATTTGGACCCCAAAATGGGATTTCCTTTTGGTTGCCGCTTTCAAAACTGTACCCTAAAAATAGATACACCCAATTGGTTTGGTTTTTTGGTTTGGCCAGTGTGCACCAGGTGCGGCCGGCCTTTCGTCAGCTGCAGAGGCAGGGCGGACAAATCATCGGGAGCCTCGCGGTATCTTATGCGATGGAGCAGGAAGATGAAAGTGGCTGTGGGTCAAAACTAATGGGATCCCATTTTGGGGTAGGTGCAGCACGCATTTTAGTCTATTTTAGTGGTGATTGGGATGTTCACTGGGGCAACGCTTGCAGATATGCATCATATTCGCTGCTGCCATCTTTCGTTTGCGGGCATCGCCCTTGTTACGAGAAGGTTGCCCACTTTGGGACGTTCCTGCCTAGTGGCAGCTGGCCATATTGAGCACTCACGAGTAGAGCAGTGCGGTAGAGGCCTCGCATCCCGATTCTGAGAGCCGATCTCCCGCACGGCTTCTGCGTGGCAGGGCTGGATCGACGGGGCGGGATCAGAACGCCGACGCCTCTGAGGCCTGAACATGAAGCAACTCCAGACATTTCAGCCGTGACATGAGGGCAGAACGGTCGCACTTGACCCTACCTCAATCTCTGTCGGCTGTGACCAACGCCGGAGTAGGGTCAAATGTGACATGAAATTGCGCAGGGTCTGTGGGTTGGGGCCAAACCTATACCCTGAAGACCCGAACCTAAACCTTGAAGACCCTAAACCTAAGTCCTGTAAAACCTGAACGTTGTGTTGGACCTGCTTTAATGGGTCCCCCGCCGCACTGGAATAGAGGAACCAGTCAGCGCGACCCTCTTTTGAGAGAATCCTGGGGGTCTGGGTGGGACTTGGACTTGCCAGTACTTACTTTAGTATCCTACCGAGGCTGACTCTCAGATTCGCAATACTTACCTTAGAATTGCCGATTCTACTTTAGTATTGGCAAGGCTGACTCTCAGATTCCCTGTACTTACCGTAGTATTGTCAATTCTACTTTATTGCCAAGGCTGACTCTCAGATTCCCAGTACTTACTTCAGTACTGTTAACTCTACTTTAGCAATTATTACCAAGGCTGCCAAGGCTGAATCTCAGATTCCCAGTACTTACTTTAGTGTTGTCAATTCTACTTTAGTATTGCCAAGGATGACTCTCAGATTCCCAGTACTTACTTTAGTGTTGCCAATTCTACTTTAGTATTGCCAAGGATGACTCTCAGATTTCCAGTACTTACTTGTGTATTGTCAATTCTACTTTAGTATTGCCAAGGCTGACTCAGATTCCCAGTACTTACTTTAGTATTGTCAATTCTACTTTAGTATTGCCAAGGATGACTCTCAGATTCAAGGTACTTACTTTAGCATTGTCAATTCTGCTTCAGTATTGCCAAGGATGACTCTCAGATTCCCAGTACTTACTTTAGTGTTGCCATTTCTACTTTAGTATTGCCAAGGATGAGACTCAGATTTCCAGTACTTACTTTAGTATTGTCAATTCTGCTTCAGTATTGTTAAGGATGACTCTAGTATTGCCAAGGATGACTCAGATTCCCAGTACTTACTTTAGTATTGCCAATTCTACTTTAGTTCTGCCAAGGCCAGTTTTCTCAGCAACCCCAAAAAAACGGTTGACACTAAAGAGGACCTCAAAGAAGGTATCTTCAATTTGATGGTTTGGGGACCACTGGCAAAACGGACCTCCGTGATCCAAGGCCTTTACCCGTTGAGCTGGGAAGAGCTTGGATAGGTGAACCACCCTTGTAATTTGTAATATAAAAGGCAAAGGCTTTAGTTTGAGAATTTCAGCAACCCCCAAAGTAGTTGGACACTAAAGAGGACCCCAAAACAGTCACAATAAAGAGGATCAGGGCCTCTTGTGGGCAACCCCCTTTGTGTGATATTGTTTGCCCTTACCTTATTATTAAAGAAGTTGTCTTAGATTTGATGGTTTGGGGACCACTTCAAAAAAGGAATTCCTAATGTTTGCCCGGAAGTGTTTGCCCGTTTTTTTGTCAGACTTTTTTTGGCCAGTTGATTTTTGCCCAGATTTGTTTCCTGGCATGTTTTTCCGGAAAAACAACTTGCCACAATAGATGACCCCCAAACAGCCGCAGGAAAACAACTTGGCACAATAGAGGCTCCTTTCATAAAGCGGGTGTAACCTTAACCCACACCCTAAACCTAAACCCTCAAACCCCAAACCTAAATCTGTATGGGGTGGGATTAAATGTGGCGCGTGGATTTTGCGTCGCCCCAGTGTGGAATTGTAAAAGGGGCAGGGTCGCCTGTGACGTGTTGCGCGGTCGAAGCGGGGTAGGGTCAAATGCGACGGCCGGGTAGGGTCGCATGCGACTGTCGCATCCTATCCCGAGCAGGTCATCATTGCGAACCTGGTGTGCAGCCAAGCCTTGGCGGCGCAGGCAGTTGCACGGTGGCTATCACCCGCTGTCACTGTCGCCCGTTGCCAGGTGCTTGATCGGCGCGCCAACTTGGCCCCAAGGGCCTTTTACACGGCCTGGCTGCTTGAAAGGGACAGGGCCTCAGGTATTCCAATTCAGATCACTGTTTTGTTTGTGCAAGGATTTAGGGTTGCTTTTCTTGCCTGAAGGAGGGTGGGAGGGATGGTTAGACCATGGCCGAAGCTCAGAGCCGGAAAGTGGCCTTCCCTACTTCTTGGAGAGATCGCCCCAGGCGCGCAGGCGATGGCTAGTGAACATCCTTACGAGTTGGCGTTCGAAGTCACCGCTGCCCAAGAAGGAGCAGAAGGAGCAGAAGGATCCGACGGGTTGGTTTTGATTCAATGCACATGCGGCAATCAGACGAGCCAGTTCATGGAACGTGGACGATCATTCGAAGTGACCCAAAAGGGGCAATTTTTGAGTTTGCTCTACGGGCAAATCCCATTCAGCAAGGTCGCTGATTCCTCTCCGACTAACACTCTGAGAATCTGTGCCAAGAAGCCTGCACCACGATGCTTGAGTAGGCACATTTGTATGTTTTTTTTTGGAGGCCGACCCGTGTTTTCTTCACTTGTTACACCATCCAGTGGATCCACGCAAATGCTAACATTTGCCTAGGAAGTTGCATTTGTAGCCAGCTTTACCTTTGTTTTCTTCTTGGGTCTGTGTGCTGTCAGATGTCCCTTTGCAAAGGAGCACCAGCTGCCAAACCCCAAATGGGTTGGGAGGTTTCATGCTTTGCACTTGAGAGACCCCTTCCATGTGAGGAGTCACCGGCTGGCTGCCACCTCAGAGCAACCATCCAAAGTCAGAAGGCAAGAACTTGCTGTCGAGGGTCAATTTTTAAGCAGCAACCTCCGGTTTGAAAATGTGGGGACAGGCGGGTACCCGTCGTTCTTAGCCAAACTCAGTTGAGGCCAAAGCACCAGGTGGCCTGAGACAGTTGCCCTGGAGGCGCGGCTTGCCAATGGTTTGGCCACATTGATCTTTGGTTGAACTACCGAACAATTCTTGGAACGCGATGTAATCAATGCAACTGAACTGCAAGAATCCGCTGCCCGAAATGACCAGCTTCCGGGACCAGGTGCCTACCCCCAGCCCCAGCCGGCGGTGGCGTGCGAGGCGGAGACTTGGAAATCCCCCAAAGGGAGGCCTTTTTTAAGGAGCGACGATGTTTCCCCCTCGGCTGATGCAGAGCGAGCCCTGAGAGGTCGAAGACGCCGCCCGGCTTTGGATGAGGCCGCTCATCGGATGTTGCTTTTGAGAGCCACGGCCGTGGGACCAGGTCGGGTGAGATGTCTCGAGCTTTCCGGCAGGAGCCGCGCAGCTGAGACTGGAAGGGCGATGCTTTGCCTTGAGATGGCGTTTGGGGGGGCTGGAGAAGCCCGAAAAGGCGAGAGATGGAGACTGGTGGCTCTCAAGGCATGGCGACGTGTACAAAGGCAGCTCGAATTCCACGCGGTTCAAGTTCGCTGCGCAATGTCCACCAAAAAAGATCCAGAATGCCTCTTCAGATCAGGCAGCAAGCGCTTGTATGTTGACGCAAGCCTGTATGTGAAAGGGCGCCCATTGTCGATCATTGGTGGTACCAACAAATAGGCCCGCCAGCAAACGGCCCTGATTGCCACCTGAAGCTGCATTTTGGCAGAACCCGCACCATATTTTTCAGCGCCCTGGGGTCGGAGAACTCACACGTACGTTGGAATCGAACTCGGCTGTTCCCAATCAGAAATGCCAGTGTGCACTCGTAGCGGCTGCCATTTGTTTTTGTGGCTAGTCGAGCAATGTACATGTTGGATATACTCTTTTTTTGTTGCTCAAGCCTAATTAGCAATCTGCCCGATGTGTGAGCTTCTCAGCAAGTCCAGCAAGCATCGCAGCCCGGGCGACAAAAGCTGCATTCTCTGAAATAGACAGTTGGGCCCCTTGAAGAGGACCCCTTGGACCCTCACCCCTACGCCAAGTAAACCGGAAGCGATGAAGTCCCTCCAGCCACTTGAGGGGAGGTCGAGAGAGAGAGATCCTTCGCCGCGATCCGCGATGGAGAGCGCCATGAGCGCTCCGAACTTGTCGAGGGTCAATGGCTTTCAGCCCGGCTGCGTGGTGCCGCTCTCGGAGAGTCGCTTGGCCTTTGCTGCGGGCAAGCTGGTGGTGGAGATGGACCTGGAGTCCAAGGCACAGAGGCCAGGGATCGTGGAAGTCTGCAAGGATCCAGGTGATATCCTTGCGCCCTTGTGCCG